GCTGCTGAAACTGATCAGCGGTTGATTCCAGGAATCCCAGGGCAAAGCGGGGCAAAGCAGAGCTTCCTGTAGTCAGCCGCTGGCCAGTTTCAGCAGCAGCTGAATCGGGGACACCTGGGGTACAATATGTACCAGGTCCGACTTACGTACAAATTCAACTTAAGAACAAACCTACAATCCCTATCTTGTACGTAACCCGGGGACTGCCTGTACTCTGTAACTGTAATTGCATGCCTTTTGATGAACTCATTACTTTTTTCTTTTGAAAAAAGTTTGATTATCAGTCAAAGTGTTGCCTACTTGCCATCTATCAAATAGACTTTCTGTAACTGACAATCTTAAACCTGAAAACTAAATTGTATTTTATTGCACACTGATCTTTAATAACTTAATATTAATTGGGAACATATCAACAAATTATACAAGGTTACACATGTTCAGACCCCATGGGGGAACAGAATCTTGTACCTAGTGGAATAATCTGTCCCAGTCCTTTAGAAACGCAATAGTGCATGGGCTGGAAAAAAAAGAAATTTTATCTACTGAGGGGTGGAAAGCTGAGATAGCTGTCAGGTGTAGTGTTGGAAGGAGGGAAAGGGGACTGCCAGAGTGCCTTAACTAGCTCTATGACTAGCTTAATCAGAAGAGCCATTCTGGAAGGTGTCACTGAAGCCACAAGAGATACCAAGGTTAAATATTTCTCATAGATCTTTTCTGCCTCATGTTCCAGAACAGAGTTCAACCTTCTCAGTAGATCTAGGTGCGCTCTGTAAAATTCTGGTGGCAGAGAGTCACTTACTGGTTCTAGTGATGAGGCAGAAGATTCATGAGATGCTGAAGTTATGACTGCTCTATGTCTCCAAGAGCTGCCCAAGTGATCTCTAGCAGCTTAATGCCAGTACCAGATCCTGGAGAATGTTGCTTGTGCCCTCATGGAAACTAACTGAGGTGGGTGAGAGAAAGCCCAAGCAGGAGGATCAAAAAGGCCACTGACATGGGCCTGGGATGCAGCTTTGACCAAGCCATTGCCCCCTTAAAAGGAGGCCACTGCAAGATCCATGGCCCTCAAGTGTCTGACAGAAGAGAAATGCAATACCTAGATCAGAACACAAAAGATTGCATTTCTGAATTAGAGGAATATCACTCCAAGTCTTCTAATAACAGAGCAGCAGAGCCCTATGGAACCAGACAATCAGCCAGAAGTTAGGGATGGATGTACTAGGTATTTTGTTCCTGGCTTACCTCTCAGGCCATAGAAGGTTATAGTACTGTATACTCTTAAAGAGGTGAAGTAGAAACTCCAGGCACTGGTATTGGTTGGAAACCTTGCTGTACCACCAGGGATATAGATACTGAGAAGTAAACCATTATCTTGTAAGCTACATACAACTCTGGTGTCATTGGTACTGGTACTAATTCCTTTTCTTGGTGGTTTTCTATGAATGTTTCAGGGAATTGGCCTTGAAAGACCTGGCACTGGTTCTGAAGTCTATGATCCAATCTTCTTAAATGAAAACTTTGCTAGAGAGTCTCAGACCCTCCCCCAGAGCCCTAGTCTTTACGTGACTTCAGTACCAACGATCTAGCCAAACAGGGCACCGAACCTTTGGAAAGCTCTCTCACACATGGCACCAATGATAGAGAACAAGGTGCTATAGACATCTCTGATGGGACATGCCATACCAAAGCTGCAATACTCGGAGTCCATTTCAAACACAATGGCTTGGATAGTGGGCAAAGTGCTTACCGCCTTCATATTGAACTATAGAATGGAAAATGAAAAAGCCTGGATGCTCTATCCTCAGAGAAGGCTTAAATCCTTTATAGATGTGACACTTGTCGCTAATCTGGGACTTGCCCAAGGCACCTAGAGTGCAGGTTGCTAAGAGCATTGCCTTGCTACCCAGCTATCAGCCCAGAGAGCAAGGTATGGTTCTTATACTGGAATTTAGTTAAAAAACCCTAAAACTGAAAATTAATAATATTAACATTTATCTACACCACACTTACTTTACTACTAACTTCTAAGAAAAAACAGGCTGTCTACAAGGAGTGAAGGAAGAACTTGCTTCCAGCTAGAATCAAGTGCTTCAATAACTATCATTGGTGATGAGAAGGAACTAAAGAGGGTTGGAAGTGGCTCTGCCCTCTTAAACCCACACACAGTGTGGTATGTGACAACAGAGGCTGTATTGGTCAGTGAAAACAACATCTCTGACAACAGCATCCATTGAAGGTATGTTCACACCCAATCACTTGAAGAACCACCTAGGAAACCTGAGTCAATGTTATGCAGGCTTAGGCTAAAGCACATTATGGAATGGCCGTGAGAAATATACATGATATCTTCTCTAAAATGCTAAATGTTGTGGTTACACAGCTAATATACAACAAAAAAGATCTTAAAGATGTTATACAATCCCTTTTTAGCAAGCATATGAGTGTAACAACTAAATTATTTTAGTCTAACATATCAATGCTTCCATTCTTAAAACAGGGCAGTATTTCTGTACCATTGTCCTGGAGTTCCGATGACCCTTATAAACCATCTTTATTAAAGGTCGTCTAATATTCAGGGTTTCCAATTCTTCCATCTCTTTCCTTTCTTTTCTTCTTCTGAAGAGTTCCTGAATCCGAGCAACAGCAGATCGCCTAGGAATCAGGTACAAAGAACATCATTGAAAGACCATCAGACAGAGACAGCCTGCACTGATACACCTTTTCAAAATAGCGTACTGAAACAACTACAAAGCACTATCAATTAGCTTAACCAGAGTACTCAAACACAATCTCCCTCCACAAATGTGGCAGATATCAACACTATTAAAATTGTTTGAAGTTACAGACTGAGTTTTTCCATTTTGGTTGAGAAAGGGAAGAACATGCAACACAGTGAAAAGGGCATGTTATTTTTTCATTCTCTTTAAATCATACAAACTCTAGAGCAATGGTGGGCAACCTGTGGCCCACTGAGGTTCTATGTGAGGCCCATGAGACACTTTGTTTACTGTTCCCCTCACGGAGGGTTACTAAATTCTGGTTCTCAGGTTTTTTTTCCCTGCAGGTGATACACAATTAAAACAAGGACATATGAAGTGAGGTGCATGCTGACTGTACACAACACTGACTATGTGAGTGGTGTACTCCCTTTGTATCCAATCCAAGTGCTGCTATGATTCAAATGGCACACCCCGCAAATTCTAGGTACACAGGGTAGTTTTGCTAACTGTACTTATCTTGGGAGACCATCTTGGTTATGAATATCTTGCAGCCCACTAAGATGGAGGGCCACTCATATGGCCCACTCACTAGTCTAGGTTGCCCCTCACTGCTCTAAAAACAGGCAAAATTCACATGTAACTTTACTTTGCAATAGGATATTTTCCAAATCCTACAGAATTTCTCTCATCCCTTGTGTTAGCAAAAGTATTAACAGGTAAATATATAAAAACATATCTTTTTAATATAAAAGTTAGCTATTACCAAAGACACAGGTTAACCTTTAATTTTTTATTACATTTTAACAGACCTTAATCTCTTACTATTTCCTACTTTAGAATGAAGATCCTTTATCCAACAGTTTCTTGCCATTGTTTTTGCTATGACCAGACTGAGCAATAGGAAATGTTTAATAGTTCTGATTGGGAATCAGAGAGAAGAGTTAGATCCCAAGGCTTTAAAAAACCCAACGTGGTAGGAAGCTACCCCTAATGCAGCAGCAGACCTCACAGAAATTTTTTTTTTCTGAAGTGAGCTAGGTGAAAACCGATAAAGCAGCTAGGTGAAACATCCTATTTTGTGGCTGCTGAACTCCAGGAAGTTACATCTTTGGTGATGCTATAGACATTCTTGGTGCTTGAGTTCTTCCACTTGGTTCATCCTCCTGTCACCTGACCCCACCTTTGCAGCTTCCCATCTGCTCCATCTATAACCACTTTTACTTCCTGTAATTTGCTCATAGCACTTACTTTCTTCTCCATATGGTTGCTTCAATCCTGCTCAATGCCCTAAGTAGAACCAGAGTTTGATGGTCAATGTGGAATAGCAGTCACATATCTGCTCAATGCCCTGAGTAGAACTAGAGTATGATGGTCAATGTGGAATAGCAGTCACATAGGAAGTAGGTGGAGGTGATAATGGAATGTAACGGATTAAATTAGCCATGGCAGCAATTTTTGGTAGGCCACAGGCCCCAAGGAAAGAAAGCCACCACTAAACTAGTAACCTCCAATATGCCAGAAATGATGAGTCAATTTTTAGTCAATACTTCTTTAGATTGTTCTATAACATGGGTTTATTGCAGAAGGAAGTACGGTCTCGTACACCTCAAGAGCTAATTACATACTCCATTACTAGAGCCAGTTGCTCCTGCCCCTGCCAATTAGTCATCAACTCTTCCACTTTAGTCTATAGATTTCGTTTTCAGTCTTACCATAAAACAAAGATGGAGAGAAAGCTTCAATGGATGAAGTCTCTGATTCTAAAGCTGAAAGTAAAGCTAAGAGGGCATAAGAGAAAATTGAATTTACTATAAAAAGTGCTTTAAAAAAAGCAGCTCATAAGTTAGACTGGTCTTTTATTATTAAAAAACTGGAAAAAATTAAACACATGATAGAAATTAGTGATGGAAAAGAATTGGAGTCTCTCAGTCTATCTAAAAATGAATTTCTGATTAAAAATTACATTAGGAAATGTATAAAGTCCCAGGAAATGGAAGCTTCCACCACTTTCTTAGGGAGACTCTTCTGAAATACAATACATTTTTATATTGAATTATTTTCCCTGGAAGTCAAGCTAAGTCATCTGTTTTATAATTGTATCCCATTGCTTCTTATTACATCCATCCTCCAATACTCAACTAAATAATTCTATCCACTTTTTAGTGTTTACACTTTTCAAATATTTGTAAATGTATAACATTATTCTTAAATGTACTGAATATCTAGATTATTCCCAAGAGATTAACAACATTCTGTTCATTTGTCAACATCTATATAGAAAGAGAAATAATGGAGAGTTATGCTTTGCACACTTATGCAAAATATTTCTGGAACCTTACTTATAGCTACCAGGCTATACAAACATACACAAATATGATTTGCATACATACACACATTTGAAAAGATCAACTTTGCTATCCCAGAGAAACAAATAAGATGCATAGAACATCAGGTTGTCTCCCATTCTAGTACCATGCAGGTAAAAAGCAGTTTAGCTTTGGAAAGAAAAGATACCCAATTAGGACTACTTATTTCAAGTGAGTACCAACTATTATTTCAACTTCCACTTACCAGGATTTCTATCTATCAAGGTACACATTATATAATTGAAAATATCAATGCATAAGACACATGGACACTGTTATCCCTCAGTGTAAAAATAGATTAAGACAAAAGCCTGATTTTAAGGCTTTAGCAATCATGCACTTTTAACAACATCACACCCTAGCTATCACCACCAATGCATGGAGTATGGTTATGTAAAAGACTCAACACTTGGCATACTTGCAGATAAAACCTGCAATTTCAAAACTGAATGTTTAATATAAGGAAGAAAGGGTTAGTAGCTTAAAAAGCATCAAGACACCTGAATCCTATTCAACTCTGCCACTGTTTTACTGCATCTGAAGGGTAATGATACAAATATATTTCATAGGGACATCATGTGGTTTCTTTTACTAAGTGTTTAAATATCCTTGAATGGAAGATGCTCAAGAGCATGTGTACCAAAACCCCATCACATGTATGTTCTTAAAAGCACTCATTCTGTACCACTCCAGTTGAAAATACAGGCTGCACATCTCTAGTTCATTTTTGGGACCTGACCGGTGCCAAACCAGAGAATTTGTCGAAGCACAGGAGGTCAATATTGTCTAGCAACCTTACCAACTGCTTATTGGGTTCTAAGACAACATTTATGGGTAAATTGGAGCTAAATAACAGAACACAGAGCCAGTACTGCTAGCTGTAAACAAACTTTATGGGACTATGGGAAACTTGGCTACACACATGATAAGTGGACATTCTGCTAACTAAAATCATGCCAGTCCACGGATGTCATCAGACTAGAGAGTTCAACCTGTACTAGCTAAAGTGACTGTATTAAGCTGTCCTTGACAACCCCCAAAGTATGAGTTTTATTATTCTTATTAGGCCCAAGAATGAATTACCTGTCTAGGCATGCATCACTGTAGTATGAATGCATTAAAATTTTTCCATTAAATGTAAATCCGAAGGAAAAAAAACAGAACTCAAGAGCACGATACAGTTTATCTACAGCCAAGCTTAATATCTGCCCCAAAAGAAATTCTACAGCCACACAAAAAAGAACAACGGTGAAAGAAGAGAAAGAGAGAGTTACTCACCCTGTGCAGTAACGTCTGTTCTTCGAGATGTGTGTCCCCGAGGGTGCTCCACTCGAGGTGCTGGGCTCGTCCTGGCGCCGCAAATGGAGAAACTTCCTTAGCAGTAGCCCTGCCAGCCCGCGCATGCGCTCCTGCTGTCTCGCACCATTCGAGCCGTTACAGCTGAGCGCAGGCTGGCTTGTCAGTTTCCTCCCAATCGGAAGCATCTGAAAGATAAAAACAAAAGCTCCGAAGCAGGGAGGAGGGTGGGTTGTGGAGCACCCACGGGGACACACATCTCGAAGAACTCTTCTTCGTCGAGTAGTGTCCCCAAGGGTGCTCCACTAGAGGTGAGTACACAGCAGTGGTCCAACGCTATTTGTGTGCTTCGGACTTATGGTCTCTGCGCTGTGGCCAGGACTGCTTGCGCCACTGCTGAATCAGCCTTCAATATTTTCGCAAGGGCATAGTGCCTGGCAAAGGTAAGAGCAGATGACCAAGTTGCTGCATGGCATATGTCCTGCAAGGGCACCCCCTAAGGTAAGCAGTGGATGCGGCCATGCCTCTGGTGGAATAAGCGCGAGGCCGTCCCGGTAAAGGTTCATGCCATAGGGCATAACAACGTGTGATGCAAGAGGTGATCAAGTTGGAAATATGTTGTGTGGAGAGCTGTTGGCCTTTTGAATGCTCTGCCGTAGCTACAAAAAGATGCCGAGACTTCCTGAAAGCGCATGTTCTATCCAGATAGAAGGCCAGTGCTAGTCTGACATTGAGACTATGTAAACGCGAGGTGTTCTATCCAGATAGAAGGCCAGTGCCAGTCTGACATTGAGACTATGTAAACGCGAGTCTTCTGGCGAAGAATGAGGTTTTGGATAGCTTATGGGCTTGTTTATATGAAAGTTGAGAGTTTACCTTCAGAAGGAAGGGGGGATGGACACGAAGCAGTACCCCCTGTTCAGGAAATAATGTGTACGGTGGGTCGACCTAAAGAGCTGCCAATTCACTAACTCGACATGCTAAAGTGATTGCCAGGAGGAATGACACTTTCATCATGAGCATGTGGAAGTCGCAAGTTGCTAACAGCTCAAAGGGAGGCCGAGTTAGAGTTTCTAGTACCAGGGCTAAGTCCCACGGCTCCGGTGGAATTGTGTAGGTCGGGTACAGATTCCCGAGCCCCTTTAGGAATCTTTTAACTAACTGAGAGCAGGTCATTTCTGGTGGTTGAAGCCAGTTAGGAGCTACGCCGTGAGGTGCATGCGGTCGATGTCCAGATGCACCATTGTACCGTGCTGTTGAGACAGCAAGTCGAACCGTACCAGCAGGTGTTGTGGTCAAGTACCCGACATTCTCGACAATTGTGTCAGCCATGAAAATCACTGTTGCACCCTCCATCGCTATCTTCTCCAGCGCCCTTGGAATGAGGGGAAGAGGAGGAAATGCATAGAGTAGCTGGTGACAACCCCAATCGAGTAGGAAAGCATCTCCCAAGGAATTCATGCTGACGCCCGCTCGCGAACAATAACGATGACACTTTTTGTTGTGACGAGTGGCAAAGAGGTCTATACTCGGGAACCCCCAGAGATGGAAAAGATCGCAAACAACTTGGTTGTATAACTCCCACTCGTGTTGAGGAAGGAAGTGTCTGCTGAGGGCATCGGCGATGATATTGTCCTTGCCGTGAAGGTACGATGCGGTAAGGGTTATACGGTGACGGATTGTCCAGTTCCACAGCCGTACAGCCTCTGTGCAAAGGGGGCGTGAACGCGCATCGCCTTGCCTGTTGATATAGTGCATATATTGTCGGTGAGAATGTGGACTGCAAGACCTCGGATCCTGTGGAGGAAGTGCCTGCATGCATCGGATACCGCTCACAACTCAAGGAAATTTATGTGCTGAAGGGATTCCTGTGGTGTCCAGAGCCCCTGAACTTGATGTTGTAAATGGGCCCCCCAACCAATCAAGGAAGCATCCATTGTGATCTGCACTGAGGGCTTTTGTCCGTGGAAGGGGACCCCGATAGCAAATTTTTGGGATTGTCCCACCATGTTAGCGAAGTCCTGAAGTGTTTGGGAATAGATACTGTTTTGCCCGTGCTGTGTACCCCCGGTGTGTAAACAGTGAAAAGCCAATGCTGGAGGCTGCGCAGGTGAAGTCTTGCATGTGACACCACATATGTGGTGGCAGCCATATGTCTGAGCAGCTGTAGGCACATAAGTATGCGGGATCTGGGAGCAACTGACAGTCTGAACCAAATACTGAATCAACTCGAACCTTGTTGTGGGTAAGTATACTCTTGAGCTCAGTGCATCGAGCCTCGCACCAATAAATTCCAAGTCCTGACTCGGTGTCAGGGACGATTTGCCGAAGTTGATTATGAGGCCCAATGCCTCGAACACCGTCATGGTGGTGGTCACTGCCCATGTAGCCTCTTCGCAAGTAGGGGCCTTCAATAGGCAGTTGTCGAGATACGGGAAGATTGTGATATTGAGGCGTTGAAGGTAAGCAGCTACCACCGCTAGGGTTTTGGAAAACACTTGTGGCGCTGCTGACAGACCGAAGGGTAACACTCAGTATTGGTAATGATCTGAACCCACTACAAAACGAAGGAATCACCTGTGGGCCGGATGAATTGCTATATGGAAATAGGCGTCCTGCAAGTCAAGGGACGCGAACCAATCCCCTTTGTCAAGAGCTGGAATGATAGAGGCTAACGTGACCATCTTGAATTTCTGTTTCCGCAAGTGACAATTGAGCCAGCGTAGGTCCAGGATAGGCCTCCAACCCCCTGACTTCTTCTGGGTGAGGAACTACCGAGAATAGAAACCTCTCCCCCAAAACTGAATGGGTATCCTCTCCACTGCTCCTATAGTAAGTAGTCAAGACACCTCTTGACGTAGAAGCATCTCGTGAAAGGGGTCCCTGAAAAGGGGCGGGGAGGGTGGGGAGTGAGAGGGGATTGAGTTGAAAGGGATGGCATATCCTGAAACAACTATGTCATTGACCCATCGGTCGGTGGAAATCAGACCAGCGATGTTGATAAGGCCTCAGCCGATGATGGAATAAAGCTAGCGGATTGTGTGAAGCTCCCGACAAAGGGGTGATGCGCAGTCCCTCAACTGATCCATCAAACTTGCTGTCGCCCCTGCTGGTGGCTGGACGCCTTGCTAGGCTGTTGTCTTCGTTTCTGTTGGCGTTGTCTTGGCCTCTGCTGCTCATATGGTTTGGCACGGAATATTGCGTAAGAGAAGGGTCTCTGTTTGTTATAGGGCGTATACCTCTTACGCTTATATGGAGATGCCCAGTCTGTCCCCCATGCTCCTTCACTACGGTAGCCCCAGCCGGCTTGTGGAGCTCCTTTGTGGGTGAACGAGCTGCATGAGTCTCGGAGGCAATGGAGGACGGCTCGCCTGCATCAGTCTGGAGGGCTTTATTGAATAAAATTACTCAGTCACATTTCACGATCACACCTGGCGCACGCTGTCAGTTTCATACAATGCAAGCACTTCATCGGGATGTGCCCGTCCCCCAGACATTTAACACAGCGCGAGTGCCCGTCAGAGTCGGTGGAAATCAGACCAGCGATGTTGATAAGGCCTCAGCCGATGATGGAATAAAGCTAGCGGATTGTGTGAAGCTCCCGACAAAGGGGTGATGCGCAGTCCCTCAACTGATCCATCAAACTTGCTGTCGCCCCTGCTGGTGGCTGGACTTGGCCCTTTGCAAGGAGCCAGCATCAGGTCTTTGGGACGAGCAAGGCTCGGGCACTACGGCCCTTGCCCGTCTTCTCAGTTGGGTGCCTCGGCAAGAAGCCAGAGGTGCCCGGTCTATCCCCCACGCTCCTTCGCTGTGGTAGTTCACCCGGCTTGTGGAGCTCCTTTGTGGGTGAACGAGCTGCATGAGTCTCGGAGGCAATGGAGGACGGCTCGCCTGCATCAGTCTGGAGGGCTTTATTGAATAAAATTACTCAGTCACATTTCACGATCACACCTGGCGCACGCTGTCAGTTTCATACAATGCAAGCACTTCATCGGGATGTGCCCGTCCCCCAGACATTTAACACAGCGCGAGTGCCCGTCAGATGCAGGCATGGCATCCTGACACTGTGAATATTTCTTGAAGCCAGGCATGGTCTTTGCAAGTTGCCAACAAGAAAACAGCTTTTGGGTTTTTTTTGTTGTTTTTTTTTTTTGTTAAGGCTACTGAACACAAACTATAAGATTAGGACGGGAAAACAAAGATTTTGAAAACTAACTCTGCTAACTATTAACAACTACACTAACGACAAACTGCCAAGTGGCAAATAAAGTTTCTAAGTAAAAATCCCTTTTTCTCCTCAGGCTGGAGAGCGAGCACATCCTAGGTCCGTCTGCAGCCACGGAGGGTTGAAAGGAAACTGACGAGCCGGCCCGCGCTCAGCTGTAACGGCTCGAATGGTGCGAGACAGCAGGAGCGCATGCGCAGGCCAGCAGTGCTAAGGAAGTTTCTCCGTTTGCGGCGCTGGGATGAGCCCAGCACCTCGAGTGGAGCACCCTCGGGGACACTACTCGACGAAGAAGTAAAACTTAATGAAAGCTCTATTAATGACAGTTCTGGAGCAAGATTAATTTGCACAATTTAGGAATGCATTATTCAAAGGCCTCTTAATTTTCATAGCTAGGGTTGACAGTGCAAGTTTAGGAAGAGAGACACTGGGTTTTGGGATATATTTCTCCACCTCAAAGGTAAAAAGGGCAAAAATGTGAACATTTGAGTTGGAAAACTCTTGAGTCTCTCAGTTAAATACTCGAACATGCTAATTGTAGAAAGCCTTAAGAGTTTTGACAACTAAGTTTGGCAATAGGCCTTTAAGGGAAGAAGCAATTATTTGAGTTAGTTCCAAATATTACAGACAAAGATTGAGATAACAAATGGGAAGAATTAATTTAAAATGGCAACATACTTTTATAGTTCCACGAATGACTATTTGCAGGATACACATCTGAAGAGGTTAACTGACATGACTATTCTAGAAATAGTATCTGCACTTCTTATATTAAGGCCCCCTGAATATAGTCACACACAACGTGAGAGAGAGTCCCTAAATACTAAAATCTAAAGGAAAACAGTGTGTCACTGACTTTGTCTTTATATTTCAGTTTTAGCTACTACACTCATGCCATTGGCTAAAGGTCTTTATTAAAGGGTTTTTGTAATCTGTGGGAAGATGGATCCAAATTCCACGATAAAACCCAATCAGTGCGGAATTTTTATAGTATCTAATTAGTTGATATATTTTCTTCCTAAATTTCATCTTAATTGTGCTGTAGATTTTTAGAGCGCCACGAATGTCAAGTGAGAATTTCAGTTTTTTACAACTAAGTGTGGGATAGTTGGGAAATTAGGTATCTGAGAAGGCAAGGAAAATGAATGGTTTGTGATTAAAAGATAACCACATCAGCTGGATGTTTCTGCTGGAAAGAATAGCAGTGTAATATAGTTAATACTGGCATGTAGGGCAACTCTAAACTACAAATTTAAGTTGATTTTAGTTGTATTTATATACAACCACCACAGTAATTGTCAGTTTTGCATGTTCATACTATGCTCCTGTCAGCAGTATAGATTTCAGATGAAGTCTCCATCTTTTTTTGTAATTACGAAGGAAAATGAATAGTCTATGGATAAAACCAAGTGTTCTCCAACACAAAACAATGGTGCCACATGCAAAATACAATACGTGCCAAAACTAGTGAAGTTAAAAAAAAGTATTTTTGACATGAATGCTTATTTTACACAGTATGATTATTTTTATGGCATACGCTAAAGAGATTCATGTGATGTTAAATTTGTACACAGCCATTTCGTCTCACACTGTTTCCATGCAATGCATGCAGTTAAATATAACTCAAACAATCTGCTCTACAAATTCCAGCATCCAATATTTGGCAAATGTAAATGTAGTAATAGCGAATAGAAAAGCTGGTTAGATGTGGAAAACAAGAACCTGGTAAATCCATCATACAGAAAAAAGAAAATGGGGGAGAGGGAGGAAGATACTGAAATTACCTCATTATTCTATCACCTATTGCTGTTCCTCTGATATTAAATCTAGTGAAGGGAACAATAGTCAAAGTCATTCAAAACGCCTGTGTATCAAGTTTTTAAGATTACAATCTATAACAGTCTGTGTATTAAGATTATTCCAAAAATTTTACTTCTTCCATGTGGGTTAATACATGAAAACATTTTCATTTCAACCAACACTACCCCCTAGTTTTTGAATATTTTATCAGTACACAAAGTAAGTTTTATAAAATATATTAATTACTCATCAGTTGAATTATAGCAGATGTGGCAGCAAGTTGCATAAGCATTTCCATTTTAAACTCTTTATTTTGAGTCCCTTATGACTTGACATTTTCCACTAATTGGATTGATTTTCCAGGCTTAGTCTCTGCTCACAGGTGACTCTCAGAAAGTTTGAGCTTAACCAATTCAGCCATTTGAATATGAAATAGCCCTTAATGAGAAGAGCCTTTGACTATTCATGTGAAAACTGATTTTGAACTGAATTATAACGAGTCAAAAATCATACTGTGTGCACTTGCAGTACCATTTTCTCACTAAACCCATAAAGTTTACAGCTAAGGAAGACCATGTTGCCGGTGCATATAGGACTAACTTTTCTGTGCTTTGAGAAATTTGAGTACATTTAAGTTAAAAGGTATTTAGGTGTTTACGCATGCAAGAGAAAAGACTCTTCTTGTGGATTCCCCAAGGAGCATAGGAAATAATTCCCTTCTGCAGACTTGTAGGATAAATAACAATGTTCCAGCAGAATCTAGCCAAATAGTTTAACAATATGAAATTTGCATTCATCCTTATTCTTCAAATATGCCTCGGAAATTCCCTTAGATAATTGTTCATGGGTGTGTTAATGTAATATTATATTAGCTAACTAGACAAACCATTATAAAATATTTCAAGCACCAAACATTTCACTTTTTAGTCAATATAGTCTTCACCATTTTCTAAGGTACTACAGCAGCAGACATGCTACAAGAAAAGAATGAGATGGCCATTCTATCCTAAGTCTCTGATTTTCAGTTCTAGATGAGAAATATTTTAGGCTGAAGCCAGCTATGAGCCTAACAACTCAGTTACATTTGTGTCAAGCTTCACAATTAAGTAAACCTGCAAAAAAAATTTTTTTTTTTTACTTTAGAACCACTGCTGTGGACTTTTTCTATGCTCAAATAACTCAAACAGCTTTTTAAAAAGATATGTTCCCATTGCATTCAAGATAAACAGTTGAATGGGAATCAATGTAAGGAAAGCTATGACAGATAAGTAAAATTAAAATATTAAATTATAGGTCTACTATATTTTTTAGTTTTGCATTTTAGATAAATTATGGAAAAAATCAATGTTCCATTTAACATCTATTTAATCTTCATTATACATCTAAATACTAAATCATACTTATACTGGGAAACTGCTTCTGGACTTCAATAATACTCCAAGTTATGTTCATTAAATGATAAATCCTGATTAATTGACTTGAAGACCAGGATATTTTGTTATACTTTAAACACATTCTTTGAACACAGGTTGCATTTCCCTAAACTGGGACTCTGGTCCAGCAACATCTGTTATCCTACCAGATCCCAGATGTTCCAGGACCAGAAAGTCCCGGTGGAGGGCTGCCCAGCAGGTTGCCCAGCCGGCAGCACACTCTGGCCAGCAGCAGAGCCAAAACTGGTGGGACCAGACTTCCTCACCTGGGACCAGTCAGGTTCTGAGGCTGCTGGTCCAGAGAGGTCCAGTCTGTAATAAAGTGGGTTAAGATTTCATATTTCCATATCTATAACATACATGTATTGGTACATTTTTGCTTGCAGACACTGTATTCTGCATTTCTTAAATCTAGTACTAGAGAGTTGGTCCTGTAGACGTATTCCCAGAACACAACAGGTAGCGTTAAATAGAGCCAACTCCTAATTTGGAACATATAAATAGTTCTATTAGGCATCTAAATGAAGATAAAGGGAGATCCCTAAACAACATATGAATGAGACATAGTGAATCCCATTTAGAACATCTGAAGCGATGATCTATATTCATTTTGTTCAAAATGGAAGGAAAATAATGAAAAATTCATGCAGCATGAAGTACTATGTGCTTTTTAAATGATGCAAACAGGTTTCAAAAGGTATGTTTGAGTATTTCTGCCACTGATTATCCTTAGGAGGAACTGTAAAATCTTGCCTCCAGAATACAGAATTTGGGATATACACTTTCCAGTATTCCTCAACAAAAAAGCTATACATTATAGACAAAAACTGATTTGGGTTATGTCACTATCTGAATTTTAATTCTACATCGTCAACTGTGGAGTTTCTCCAATGCCTAGGAAGTATTTAACTTATAGAAATACGTGGAAACACAGAGATTAAGCTGTATTCTAAGCAGTTCAAATTTCACTCATGTTATACCATGGAAAAGTCTCCAATTGTCAACCGGATTTTAGCATCCCATCTTTGAAAGTTACAGTCTTTTCTTGCTAGAAGAAAATACATCAGATAGTCCCAGAAAATCCCAGAAATTTTACCAATTTATCAAGGTACCCGATTATATTTTTCTGTATATGCAGAGGTGAGCCCTTCTATAGCATGTAGACAAATAAGGATACCAAATGTCTTTACTGTAAGTCAGATAAAAAAGAATTAAGTGCTTTGTCACATGGGGCTGCTTCTCTGCAGCCCAAATATATTGAATTACAGCTGTCCAGCAACAGAATTTCCAACTGGGGGAGACAATACATCTTTTTTTCCCAGGCTCTGGAATCTCAACATGATTTTTGGTTTTCCATACTCCCTCAAGTTCTGTTTCTTTATATATCTTTAAATTATCTCTAAGCGTATGGCTAAACAATAGCAGGGAGGTATGGTTCCCTGCTCAGGTAGACATATATACAGGGTAGCTCTGCTTGAACTAATATTCTAAAAACGGCAGTACGATCATGGTGGCAAAGACAGCAGCTCAAGCAGCCATGATCACATTATTTTTAGGGGGTACCTTGAGCAGAGCTAGTGTCTGTATGCTACCCAAGTGAGAATTCCACCTCCCGGCTGCTATATACATGTACTGTAAGGTCTTGACGCAAGATATACAAAAGAAGTTATTCACCCTGTGCAGTAACGATGGTTCTTCGAGATGTGTTCCCCCATGGGTGCTCCACTGTTGGTGTCGGGCTTGTCCTAGTGCTGCAGATCGGAGATCTTTTAGCAGTCGTCTGCCGGACTGCACATGAATGTCGGTCGTCTCGCAGCTTTTTCTGCCATTTCTGGTCGCGCGGTCCGGCTCCCGCCAGTTCCTCCTTATCGTCGAGGTCTGAAAAATATAATCAGAGACTCCAAAGAGGGGAAGAAGGTGGGTTGTGGAGCACCGACGGGGGGATACATCTCGAAGAACCATCATTACTGCACAGGGTGAGTAATAACTGCTTCTTCGAGTAGTGTCCCCGTGGGTGCTCCACTGTTGGTGACTCCACAGCAGTAGCTTGGAAGATGGAGGCGGGTTTTGGAGTCAATGTATTGCCGCCATAGAGAGGACCTCAGAGCCAACTGCAGTGTCGGTCACAAAAATGTTAGAAAGTGCATAATGTTTTGCAAATGTAAGGTCCGAGGACCATGTGGCCACATGGCAAATGTCCTTGAGGGAGACTCCCTTGAGGACAGGAGTAGAGGATGCCTTGACCTGATACAATGGGACCTGATAGAAAGGTTTTGTTTTGTAATACATAGCACCGCGTAATGCAGGAGTTGATTATCTTTGATATAAATTGTGCTGATAATGGGAGACCTTTGGAATGGTTGGCTATGGATAAAAGCAGACAAAGACTTCCGAAAGGCCCAAATTCTTTTGATGTAAAAGGCCAGGGCTCAACGGACGTCCAGGGAATGCAGTCAAGAGGGCTGTTCTGAAAAATGTGGTTTCGGGTAGAATATGGGAAGGAATATGGGCTTGTTTATGTGAAATTCTGAATTAACTTTAGGTAAAAATGCTGGTTGGGGTCATAGTATGACTCCCTGAGGCGTAAAGACAATATAGGGAGGTGTCACCAATAGGGCTGCCAACTCTCCCACCCTGCGTGCTGAGGTTTTTGCCAGCAAAAACACAACCTTCATGGTTAGGGAGGATAGATCACAGGTGGCTAAAGGCTCAAATGGTGGTTGCATTGAGGTATTTAGGACCAATTCCAGATTCCACAGGTCTGAGGGTTGCCTATGTCATGGGAAGATATTGGCCAACCCCTTCATGAATCTTCTTGTGATAGGGTGCGAGAAAACAGTACAGCTGTCCTCAAGTTGTTGAAATGCCATGATTGCCACTAAATGGACCTTCAGAGAAGAAAGTGCGAGGCCCAGATGTTTAAGGTAGAGAATGTAATCCAAGATGGATTGCATGGGTAGCGTGTTAGGGCCTAGTTTCCTGTCCAAGCCCCAAGAACAGAACCGGCGCCATTTGTGCAGGGAAGTGGTACGCGTGTTACTTCTTCTGCTATATAGGAGAACATGCCTGACAGCCTGCGAACAAGTCATTTCTCCTTATTGGAACCAATTAGGAGCCATGCTGTCAACGTGAGGTGATCCGGCTGAGGATGTAGCAGGTACCTGTGGTCCTGTGTCAGTAGACTGGGTCGTCTGGGAAAATGAAACGGGGGATGGAGCGACATGCAGAAAAGGTAAGGAAACCACATTTGATGTGGGCAGAAGGGTGCCACTATCACCACCCTGGCTCCATCCATAGCTATCTTCTCCAGAACTCTTGGAATCAAAGGAATGGGAGGAAACGCATATAGGAGATGACGACTCCAACTGAAGAGGAAAGCATCTCCCTTGGATGTCAGACCAATGCCCACTCTTGAACAATATTGAGGGCACTTTGTGTTGTCCTGAGTGGCGAAGAGGTCTATGTACGGATATCCCCAGCGGTTGAATAGCACATGCAGGATGGTGTGTGGGTAAAATGCCTGCTGAGGGTATCTGCTGTGGTATTGTTCTTGCCAGGGAGATACACCGCCAGAATGGCAACTTCATGTCGGT